ATGCCCCTCCTCAACATCAACTGCGTGAACTACATGGGCCAGAACGCTCTCCAACTGGCCGTAGCTAGCCAACATCTGGACGTAGCCCAGCTCTTGCTAAAGAAAAACCACCTGGCGAGGATAGGGGACGCGCTATTGCTAGCTATCAGTAAGGGCTACATCCGGATCGTGGAGGCCATCCTGAGCCACGAGGCGTTCGCGGACGGTCGGAGACTGACCAACAGCCCCAGCCAGACGGAGACGCACGACGACTTTTTCTCCTACGACGAAGACGGGACCCGGTTCTCCCACGACATCACGCCCATCATCCTGGCCTCCCAGTGCAACCAGTACGAGATAGTGCACATGCTTCTTATGAGAGGGGCCCGGATCGAGAGGCCCCACGACTATTTCTGCCAGTGCGGGACGTGCAATGAGGACCAGTGGAGGGACTCTTTCAGCCTATCCCAGTCCCGCATCAACGCATACAAAGGCCTGGCCAGTCCGGCCTATCTCTGCCTGTCTAATGAAGACCCCGTAATGGCAGCTCTGGAGCTGAGCAACGAGCTAGCGGTGCTGGCTAACATCGAGAAGGAGTTCAAGGTGTGGTATCCGATCCAGATCCCTGAGTGGAGACCTTTAGGAAACACTAACTGTGTATGGTTATGCATTTGGCAGACGCTTTTATCCAAAGCGACTTACAGAGTAGACACAATATTACATTTATCATCAGAATCAGAATCAGAATAAGGTTTATTGCCAAGTAGGTTTTTCACTTACAATGAATTTGCTTTGGTGTTTGGTGCACAACAGTTCTATGAGAAGCAAGAAAGGACATACAATGTAGAAATAAAAATATAGAATAAAATAATAATAATAATAATAATAATAAATAATAATAATAATAAAATAAAATATTGAATGTTCAATTTATTATTATTCAATTATTGTGATCAAATTAGCGTGCAATAAGTCAGAAATATATTTTGGTGTAGTCTTCTACTGGCTGTTATCAGGTATATCTGAATGTGTACAACAGGGGTTTGAGCAAAGCTTTTACCACTGAATGATGCAAAAATGCTCAGATCCAAAAGACTTCATAAACCGGATCAGATATGATACATTTGGCATTATAGGGTTTAGCACTTTGTAGGTTAGCATCAGGGACTTGAGTTTGATTCGGGCAGCCAGAGGTAACCAGTGGAGTTCAATGAACAGAGGGGTGACGTGAGAACTAACCGTCGTGTTTCTCCCTCCGTGTTGCAGAACGATTATAAGAAACTGTCCATGCGGTGCAAAGACTTTGTGGTGGGGATTTTGGATTTGTGTCGAAACACCGAGGAGGTGGAGGCCGTCCTGAACGGGGACACCGAGTCGTGCCCTAAATCGGAAGTCTTCGGTAGACAAAACCTCATCAGGTTAAAACTAGCAATAAAGTATGAAGTTAAGAAGGTAAGTGTGGGCCTACTGATATAACCACTGACCCTCTGATGTTTGATACCTCCTCACTTCCTGTTAGGGTTGTCAAAAGTATTGATACTCAAAAAAGTATCGATACTAAACTGTTGTATCCGGATACGATACTCCCCTTCTCTCTTGTTCATTTATGTATTTATTTACGTTGTTTATGATCATTAACAAGACGTCAGCCTTGAAATGCTAGCTGCGGCTAATGGCTAATAACAACACGCCAACATTAATCTAATACGTCTGGCTTCAAACTCCGCCCACATCCAAGTCGGACATTTTGATTACGTCACCAATCGGAAGATTCCAGGCAAGAAAATCCTAATTGCTTCATGGCAATATAGATATTAATTTAAAAATGGTGAAATGAATCTTTCAAACACTTAATTATACTCTATACATAATATTATGTTAAAATAGTGGATGTTAAATAGGTTTGTACAATAAGTCAAAACAAGTTTAACCAAAAAATATTTATTTCTCACATCTATGAAGGGTGGAGGGTTAGGGTTAGGGTTAGGGTTAGGGTTAGGGTCAGGGTTAGGGTTAGGATCAGGTTTAGGGTTAGGGTTAGGGTTAGGGTTAGGGTAAGGTTAGGGTTAGGGTTAGGGTTAGGGTTATTAATGTGGGCCACCATCACATCAGTATTGGGTCCGTTTGAAACCAAAGACACTAACCTGTCAAAATTCCGTTACATTTTGGGGTCTTTGTTTTTATCCTTGTGGTATCGAAAATGGTATCGAGTATCGAGTATTTTCCTGAGTATCGGTATCCAGTTGAAAATGTTAGTATCGTGACAACCCTACTTCCTGTCTGTCTCTCTCTTTATGGATCTATCAGTTCGTGGCCCATCCAAACTGCCAGCAGCAGCTCCGGGGTATCTGGTACGAGAACCTGTCGGGGCTTCGGCAGCAGACGATGGCGGTGAAGGTGCTGCTGGTTCTCTGTGTGGCCGCCGGGCTGCCCCTGCTGGCCCTCGTCTACTGGATCGCACCTTCAAGTAAGGTTAGTTTCACTAATGTTGTGAACGGGACCGATTGGAAACTATTTGATTACTGTCGAGAGAATTTGAAATGTAAGGATTTGAGGTTATTTTTAAGACTGAGTC